GTGGTTACGGTTTCCCGACCGACCCTATTTATTCCCAGCAACCCTAAAAATTTTATTGTCAATTTTCTTTAGTAAAAAAAATATATAGATATAAAAAAATGAATTGGACAGTTCCTGCTTCAAAAGGCACAACGCACATCCTTTCAGACATGGTTCGTAAATAAAATATTTCAAGAAAATAAAATGTTTTCCCTGCCTACCTACCCTATTTTTTTCGGCATGTAACGGTAACCACACATATATTTTGTTTTGGCCTTACTGTGCTTCTGTTTGTTTGTCTGATAGGCCGGCTGTGCCAGGTACTTGTCTGTGTAATTCACCTATATGTGTGATGGTGATTGCGATTTGTGGATGTTTGCTTGTGTGCTATACCTTTAAGTCTGACTGTTTGTCTAGTGTACCTTTAATATAAGGCAGTGTGTTTGATTGTGTAATGTACATAGTAGTGGGTTCCTGTGTTTGTCTGTGTAATAAATATATGTTGTATATGCTAGGGTTATTTGTTTGTGCGTTGCAGCTAGTGTAGAATTGTTAGGTTATGTAACATTCTCAGTAATGGACTGTGTTGTTTGTGTATGCTCTTAGTATAAGACTGTTTTCATATGTAATGTGCCTAGCAAATGGCAGTGTTTCCATGCGAAATGTACTTATTGTAGAGCTCAGTGTTTGTTTACGAGTATGGACCTAGCAGAGCGTGGTGACAGGAGTTTCTTTTGTGTAATAAACTATGATGGGCTTTGTGTTTGCGTATGTGCCTTGTTCGGAATTGTTTATCGGTTTTGTACCTATAGCACTGTTTGGTTGTCTAATGTGTGTACGTAATTGAGGACTGTTTTCTAACTGCTCTGTACGTATAGGAATGTTTGCATTGACAGTGTTTACATTATGTACAGGACAGGGCTAGCTATTAGTTCAGTGTAGTGTAGTGTACATGTAAAGGTGTTTGTTTCCGTGTTTTTATTATGAAGTGGTGTTCTGGGTATGTGCCAGTGTGCACCCATTCGTAGCTTACTCTAGAGGAAAGAAAGGAGAGAGTGAGATATGGACCTGCGTGAGAGAGCGAGGGAAGGCGGAGGAAGAGACCCAGGAGAGAGAGAGAGGGGGGGCGAGTTAGATTGTGTTGTAGAAGGATCCGATAGATTTCGACCTGTCTCGATTCGTACGTGATACTTTCAGGTTTAGTAATGAGTCCCCGCGTGTAGCTGTTAGGCTATTTTGTGATTTCACGTGCGTTTTACATTGATGCTGTGAGTGCAGAAAGCTAGACTACATAGTAGAGTGGGTACTCTACTATAGAGATTTATAGTAGAGTGGGGTACATGGCTTTCACTGCGTACAAACCTCTGCTTTTATGCCACGATATCTTTAACGTGTGCCGGCGTGCTGTTGCAGAGACAATTTGGGCGGCTGCCAGACACATATTGATAAATTCCGTTATTAGAGTCTGTCAGTGTGTGGGTTGATTTGTCTGCAGCGCTCAGGTTGACAGTATGGGGTTTCTGGGCCAACCGTCGCGCACTCTTGCATAATCCTATTGTTATTTCCGCGTCGCCGCCGCCTCACAAATTTACATGCCTGCGATTGTTCCAAGAATTGTTGTGCTGGTTTTGCTGAGGCAGGCCGGCCGGTCTGCCGGGGCGATTGCTTTTCTGTCTGGAAACCACCCAGCTGAATGAGTGCCGTTCACTTGTGCAAGTCCGTCGCAAATTGCTATAGAATGCGAAGAAGAAGATCTTGTCGGTGTACTCACTGGGTGAAATTTTCCACGATGAAGAATGATCTTCGATCGAGAATTGTCGATGGCTTAGAGAGAAGCTGTGGGGGTGACTCGTCTTGGCGCGTTCGTACGGTCTTTAAAAGAAAGATAATTGCGAAATGTTGAAAGTAAGAATAGGTTAGATATATAGGAAGAGAATGAGAGAGAGGGTGGGGTCGGTAGTTCACCTACAGGTTCGTGTTGAATATCAGCAGAACGTGTTGGGTTCAACTTCACCGATATGTATGGGTCACATGCGCTGTTCGGTCTTTGTCTAGCAGCGATGTCCGATGACAATCGACATTCTAGTGCCGCGCAACAGGTTCTCAACCTACCCACCGTTTTATTATTAACTTAATTAAGTCGTTACTTTGTTAACGAGGATATTGAATCAACTGCACTCGTGTGTTTCGCTTGTATTGTGCGTGCCAGACATGCATGTTAATATGCGTCCTCTTACATTGTGTGTTGCAGCCAGTACTGTAGGACTCGGCTCGTATTCCCGACAATGAGAATGGACCCCAATACGCCTGCAGATGATGTCGAATCTAGCGAGCCAGCCAGGTACAATATCCGCAAAGATTTTCACGTGATTTTGTGCGCGAGTGCGTTTGTATGCAGTAGATTTAATCGGAAATATTCAGTGCTATCAGAAGTATATATCGCATATAATGTACGTGACTTATATTTCTGGTATCATTTATAATTTAATTTTGTTCTAAGGATCTTGTTTCCGAGCCCTAGGTCTCGTTAAAATAGATTTTTACTAGCAGGTTCTTGATGATGGCTAAAAAAAATATAGGAAATCGATTGCAGAACTTGTGAAATTTAAATTGTGGACGGAGATTGGCTACTGAAATTGTGGATGCATTCACGGTGCGCGTTGTAATTTGTCAAAGTGAATGCCAAAATGCAAGTGCAGTGCTGGTTGTTTGACCACGAAAATTAAATGGGAACACAACCAATGCTGTTTATCTATTATTTTCGTGGATATAATTGTCAACCAGGCCTGATGATGATTATGACATGACCGCTATGCCTGCTTTGTAGCAGGACAAACAATTTGTTAGGTGGTGGGAGGGGTGGGTAATTATCAGGTAATCAGGGCTCAATTTTAACAGTCGTCCGGTCGTCCGTGACGACTGGATTTTCTCTCGGGCAACTACAAATTGCTTCCGTGGTTGTCCGGTGTCCAACCTCTAAATTAATTTTGAAATTTTTTTTTAAATTTGTTAATTTTCAATTTTTGCTCATCTGTGACTTGACACAGTGTTAATGTAAATGTTATGAGATAAATTTCATGCAACTTTTAATTACTATTATTATACGTCATTTATCCCAGCATCATTTACCACATTACACAATATTTTATTCTCTTCATATAATGAGTGAAACAATGCGAATGGCCATGTCTGCTGTCACTGCAATACGTACAAAATGTACATGATTAGGCCTTTTGCTTTACAGCACTGAGCATCACGTGAGCAGAGCGCATGCAGCACATGTTTAAATAATATCCGGACAACCAAAACTCTTGAGGGACAACCATATGCTACTCTCTTGGTTGTCCTCCGGACAACCCCCAAAAAAACCTTAAAATTGAGCACTGGGTAATGTTATGAACATAGTGCTTGTGTGTCTACTTAAATCCACAAGTCTTCGCTGTGGCTGCTAGTGGAGTGGTGTGCTATGGTTACTGTTTACATAGATCTAGTGAATGGCTTAAGTAGAGGAGTTTGCAAGAATTAATTACCATTTTAATTACTCTACAGTTCCTGTTGATGCGGTAGTTGATCTACAGTCTAGCGAGGCAACCCGTAAATGTACATATCAGGCTGAAGTATTTGATATAATGCGAATGTAGCAATAGCATATTCAGGGGTAGAAATTAACTTTTGAACACGGAGTCCAACGGACGGACTCCCTACCCTCAAAAAGAGTCGCAGTCTGGGGTTCAAAATTAAAGATATTAACAATAACGCATACATTGCTTATTTTTAAGACTCATGCGGTTGCACGTCTGCCAAATTTTCTTTGGACATTAGCTGAAAAAATACGGTAGTTCCACGAGGCTAGTTAGTATGGCAGAATTTTCACAGAGTCACACAGACTCCTGCATATATGTCAAATCAGGGAGTCCGACAGTAAATCAGGGAGGGAGTATTTGACTCCGGACTCCCGTTAATTTCGCACCCTGATATTGATGGTGAGGCGTATTTCTGTACTATGTTAGGGCCGCGCCTACCAAGAAACCAGAGCCGACCTACATGGAGGCATTCCCACCTCTGGTGGCGCAACCCAAGAGCGCAAACTTCCAGACGAACATTGGCCAATGGAACCAGAAGATGGCTGTCAGGACGACCCAAGTCACTCAGGTATGTCAGCTAAGCCTTCTACTGTATACGCTGTATATTTCGCGGTGGTTTAGTTTTCGCGACTTTCGCGAACGCGTCCCCGACCGCGAATACTTCATACCGAATAATACCGAATAAGTCATAATTCACCGACCACGAAATGAACCACTCGCGAAATTGTCCGTCAAGTCTGAATTCGCGAAAATATCTGTACGCGAAAAATATGGCGTATACAGCATGTTGACGTGACGATGGTTGCTATCATCGCGTAACTGCGTGGCCAACACAGTTGCGACGAATAGTGCGACCAACCAGCAGCCCCAACACCCCAAGTACGTCCACCGTCAAAACATTCATCGCTGGCACCGCAGGAGGAAATTGCATTGCAGTGGGGTTGTAGCTACCAGTAGTGCTTAGGCATTTTAATAGATACAACTCCATTCAATACTGCCACAGACATTACTGCCACTGCCAAAACACCACCAGGTGTTAAGCGTGTGGCACTAGCATATGATCATAGGTAACGATTCCCTGTATGTCACACCTACAGGTGTTCAGCGTGCCACTAGAGGAGCGGCGATACAAAGAGATGGAGATGGGCGAGCAGAAGTTTGGCATGCAGAGCGAGCAGGCAAAGAAATGCACCGACATTATGCAACGCACCGGTACGTAAGCGCAGCATTCCGATTACTCATCCACGGCAACCATGGCAAGTGCTACCAGGATTGCCCCTCTTTACTCCAGGGCTAGGGTTTCCCTACCTCAACAACAGCTAGAGCCCGGTGCGTTGCCCTCCTTCTTCAGGGCTAGGGTTTCCCTACCTCAACAACAGCTAGAGCCCGCTGTGGTTGCCCCTCCTTACTTCAGGGCTAGGGGTTTCCCCTACTGCAACAACAGCTAGAGCCGCTGTGGTTGCCCTCCTTACTTCAGGGCTAGGGTTTCCCTACCGCAACAACAGCTAGAGCCGCTGTGGTTGCCCTCCTTACTTCAGGGCTAGGGTTTCCCTACTGCAACAACAGCTAGACACTGGGGGGTGCCCTCGTATTCAGGGTTAAGGGTTTCCCTACCGCAACAACAGCTAGAGTCGCTTATGGTCTGCCTCCTTACTTCAGGTCGTAGGTTCCTGCCGCAAGAACAGCTAGAGCACTGTTGCGTCTTGCCCGCCTTCTTCAGGAGTTAGGTGGGGTTCCGGAACCTCAACAACAGCTTAACAGCCTGGGGTTGCCTCTTACTTCAGGGTTAGGTTTCCATACCCGCAACAACAGCTAGAGCGCTGTGATTTATTTTTCCTCCTGACTTAAAGGCTAGGGTGTCCTACCTCAACACAGCTAGAAGCCGCTGTGGGTTGCCCTCCGTATGGCGGGTTAGGGTTTCCCGACTGCGACAACAGCGAGAGCCGCGGTGGTGGCACTCGGTAATTTCAGGTTAGGGTTGCCTACCGCACAAACAACAGCTAGAGCGCTGTGGTTGCGCCTCCTTACTTAGGGTTAGGGTTTCCGTCTGCCAAATGATGGAGTTCTTAGAGCCGCTGTGGTTGCCTCCTTTACTCTCGTAGGGCTGAGGGGTTCCCTACAGGCTAACGAAACAGCGTGAGCGATGTGTGGTTGTCCTCCTTAGGCTTCAGGGCTAGGGTTCCTACCAGCAACAGCAGCTAGAGACGATGTGGTTTTGCCCGCTTATTCGGGCAGGGTTTCCCTACCGCAACAACAGCTAGAGCCGCTGTGGTTGCCCTCCTTACTTCAGGGCTAGGGTTTCCCTACCTCAACAACAGCTAGAGCCGCTGTGGTTGCCCTCCTTACTTCAGGGTTAGGGTTTCCCTACCTCAACATCAGCTAAGGAGCCGCTGTGGTTGCCCTCCTGTACTGCAGGCTAGGTGTCCTACAGCAACAACAGCTAGAGCCGATGTTGGTTGCCTGCCTTTACTTCAGGGCTGAGGGTTTCCATACAGCAACAAGCAGAGCGATGTGGTTGGCCCTCCTTACTCAGGGCTAGGTTTCCCGACCTCAACACGCTAGAGCACGGTGGTTGCCCTCCTTACTTCAGGGCCTAGGGTTTCCTACTGCAACAACAGCTAGAGCCGCTGCTGGTTGCCTCCGTACTCGGGTAGTTTTCCCTACCTCAACAACAGCTAAAGCCACTGTGGTTGCCCTCACCTGCTTGCAGTGCCTCGATAATTTGCCGCCTGTGAGCGAAAACAGTTTTGTGTGAGATGCTCAGCAGGGGTCGAAATAAACGAATCTTATTTTGGAGTCAGCTATCTGATTTGACGTCAGCAGGGGTCTGTGCGACTCCCTGGAAATTCTGCTATGCATACCCAGAAATCTGAAAACATTGCACTGCTTTGAGTGTTTTGAAATCTGCAGGTAATGTAATAATTTGGGTCATTCCCGCTGTTCCTTTCACTGGGGCGGGGAATACTTTCTCGTGGCGTTTAGCGTTTATGCGTTGTCGCCGTGTTTCATTATGATATTCGCACAGCAGGCATCTTCATTTTGTTACGAAATCCAACGCTTGACACGGGGAAATCCATCAATAGTCAATTGCATCCCCCGGCATAGTTACAGAAAGCTGCACATGGGGTAATGTATGCTTAGAGAGAAGAAGCGGGGCACTTAATGCGTACATACTTGCGTATTCGTGTATGGGCTGCTGCACTAGTAAGCAGGGGTAGAAATTAACTTTTGAACAAGGTAGTCGGACTCCCTGCCCTCAAAAAGAGGGACTCCGCAGCAAAATCAGGGAGTCCGCAGTCTGAAGTTCAAAATTAAAGATATTAACAATAACGCATACATGTGATTATTTTGAAGATATATGCGGTTGCAAGTCGGCCAAATTTTCTTTGGACATTTGCTGAAAAAAATACGGTATTTCCGCGAGACGTGCTCTGGAACAAACTAGTTAGTATAGCAGAATTTTCAGGAAGTCACACGGACTCCTGCATATGTCAAATCAGGGAGTCCGACAGTAAATCGGGGAGTATTTGACTCCGGACTCGCGTTAATTTCGCACCCTGAGTAAGCGTGCGTTCTGACTTCTTATCGATTTTTGGTATGCCAGTGCTGCTATGGCTCTTTAGTCTGGATTCAGGAACCTGTGCTAACCTGTTCGTACGAACACCCCACGCACGTGTCTTGAATGCCAACTAAAGTTGTGCGTGAGGTGTTCTAAATTTTCTGCGTACGCATTTCTTTTTGAATCCGGCGCTGAGATCACTAGTGCATGCTGCTAGTTGCGTGCTGGGGTGGATTTTTTACGGGCCTGTGGGGCCTGCTGGTATTAGAAATGTCAGGCCCGTGCCTTAAAATACGGGCATCGGGCCCGCGGGCCCGTTAGGATTTCGAACCCTGCCCTGAGTAAGCAATTAATTTCAAATTTAACGACGCTTGTTGCAAGTGACGTATCCAATTAGTTCATACGTTGCCATAGGCAACTTGTTCTCAGAAAAATACATTTCAATAACACACACCTCACTCTACCCACACCCCGCTTTAGTAAATGATTGACAATGTAAATCATAGATGTCATTTCTTACACACAAACATGATTGCATCAGCCGCCTACCTTCTTGATAGTGGCGCCACCTTTGCCAATGACGTTCTTGTGAAACTGTTTGAAAATCGGCACTTGTACTTGATAGTTACTCTCAACCTGATGGGAACAGAAACCAACAATTTTGTTAAAGCGATTACGTCACCGTAAATAGTAAAAAATATTTCCACTTTTTCACAAAATATAAGTAATTCTGTTCACATTTTATGGTTAAATTGCTGCATTATACTTCCTATTTTACTATATTGTTCGATGTGAATATTAACTGTGACCGCATACATAGCCGCTATGAGCGGAAGCAATTAATGGTGGAACATTAATTCAAATCGTCCAGGTTTTGGATTTTTACTAGTTGAAAGAAACAATCTTAATCAGGTAAGCATTTGACGATTTGTTTAAGTCCCGTTAGTTCTTACTTTAATGTAAAAAAATGACTATTTTTTTTACAAATTTTACCATAGAAAATTCGTGACGTAGTCCCTTTAAATGGTCGCTGAGTGTAAGCGTGCGTTCTGACTTCTCTCTTGCAGGTGCAGTCATCGAGATGAGTTTGAACAGGGACAAGAGCATGACGTTTGTCGTGACTGGCCGCGTGGACGCCGTCATGAAAGCTCGCAGACTCATCATCAGCCAACTGCAAACACAGGTCAGTGCGTGCGTGCGGACGTGCGTGCGTGTGTGGGGATACCAGGGATGCCAACCACTACGATTTATCGTATTTTTATACGAATTCTATTCCTTTTGCACCACTACGACCAGTTTGTATCAAACTACGAATTTCACTGTGATCGAAATAATATTATTTTTTTCAATTATTGTCATTTTTGACTCTCAGAATGCAGGAAATTGCATCTCAGAATCAAAATTTTTTTTGGGGGGGGGGCATGTCTGACCCCTCCTAGCAAACTCGGGTCACTACGTGACCCTCAAACTACTAATTTGATGGCCAGAAACTACAGATTGCTTCAATGTTGTTTGGGCATCTCTGGGATACTGGCTAGTTGGCAAGGCAGGGTGTAGCAACAATTTAAAACAAGGCAGCCCAATCTAATAGTGATGTAATATAAATGCTGATAAAGTCCATCTCATCTTCTAAGCATCACCGTCTCTATCCATAAAGAGCGCACTGTACATGCTATAGTCCCCCCCCCCCCCGCGTGCGGGTGGGCGGGCAGGCTTGCGGCGTGCGTGCGTGCGTGCCGGGCGGGCTTGCGTGCGTGCGTGCCGTGCGTGGCGGGCGCGCGGGCGGCTTGCGAGCGTGCGTGCGGGCGGGCGGGCGGCGGCGTGCGAGCTGTGCAGTGCGTGCGTGCGAAGCGTGCGTGCGGGCGTGCGTGCGGGCGGGGCGTGCGAGCGTGCGTGCGGGCGGGCGGCGCGGTCGGCGTGCGAGCGTGCGTGCGGCGCCGTGGAAATAGAGACATGGGACAGCTGCAGACACAGGTCAGTGTTTATAGTTTCGTATGGCGGGTGGCGTGTTACGCTCGCTACGATGAGGAAATCAAGCGGGCAGGATAGACACAACGTAGCGGTTAATCGTCATCCCGTCTCTTCCCTTCCTCCTCCTGCACAGGCAAGCATCACCATCCCCATCCTAAGGAGGCACGACAGACCCTTCTGCTGGCAATGGCCGGAGCGGAAGGCTGACGCAGCTGTGATGCTGAGACGGCGACGAAGATTCAGATTCCGCGTCAGGACGAAAGATGTCGGATGCTGTGGCGCAATCCAGTCGGAACAAAGGAGGGATCGACAAGGCTCGCAGCGAGATTCAACTCATATCTGACGAACAGGTAGGGGATTTAGTGAAGTAATGATTGTATTGTTCTTTAGAACATGTAGGGGAGTTAGTGAAGTAATATGTATTGTCGCTTTCCAACACAGGTAGGGGAATTAGTGAAGTAATATGTTGATTGTCGGCTTTTGAAGCAGGTAGGCGGAGTTAGTAAAAGTAATATTTATATTGGGTTTTTTTTTTTTCTTTTCGAACACGGTAGGGGAGTTAGTGAGGTAATATTATATTGTCGCTTCTCGATACAGGTAGGGAGTTACATGAGTAATATTAGTATTGTTGCTTTTAGAAGAGTGTAGGGGAGTACTGAAGTAGATATTTTATTGTCGCTCTTCGAACAGGTAGGAGTTAGTGAAGTAATATTCGTATTGTCGCTTTTCGAACAGGTAGGGGAGTTAGTGAAGTAATATTGTAATTGTCGCTTTCGAACAGCTAGAGGAGTTAAGTGAAGTAATATTGTATTGTCGCTATTCGGAACAGGTAGGTGGAGTTAGTGAAGTAATATTGGTAATGTCGCTTTCCGAGCAGCGCTAGAAGAGTTAGTGAATAATATTGTATTGTCGCTTTGCGGAACAGTTTAGAGGAGTTAGTGTAATATTGTATTGTCGCTTTCATATAATTTTCCTCATTTTAAAATGAAGACAGTTCAAATGTTCAATTGCAGTATGACGTCTTACCTTTAGGTAGAAGTTTTAAAGGTAAGGTAGCAGTTAGGTAATCAGGTGAATGTTTAACCTGTTTCAGGCGAAACTTGCCTTTGAGCGCGTTCCTGTCTCCAAGATCTACCATCCCTTCGTCTGCGGACCACACAATAAGAACCTTCATGCCATCGCAGAGCAGACGGGCGCCAAAATCAACGTGCCGCCCCCTAGTGTCATGAAAGACGAGATAACGGTCGCCGGAGAGAAGGAAGGCGTGCTGAAGGCCGTCAAAATCATCAACGACATCTATGATGAGAAGGTGAGCTTGTACGACGTCACGGCTTCGTCCCTAGAAACGATATCTATAGGTGGCTGTCTCGTACACGGCTGTACCGTGTCTTGGAGACTACCGCTGTTTCAACTGTTTCGTGTGATGACTATTTCGTTAGCTGCGTTGTGATAATTACAGTAATTTCTTCATGCTTGGCGGTTTCTTTTTGCTGGAACTTGAACCCTGGTTGCAAAGTTCTTTCAGCAGCATCTTACGCTGGCATTGTTAGCTTATAAGTAAAGGGTTTGTAGCCACTGGCAGGGTTCGTAGCGGGTCTTCCAAAGTCTTATAAGTACTTATTTTGCCAAAAATAAAATAAGGGCCCTTATTAGTACTTTTTTTGGTGAAATCTTAGAAAAGTACTTAATAGTTCTTATTTTTTGCCAAAGGACAAATTGTTTTATAAACTGTTCTCGACTTAGAGTAAGAATTGTTGTATATATATAACACAGAATAATTAAATCTGCTGTGCAATTCTGTATATAAATATTTAATTATTAGTGTACTTTAATAGTCGTGCAAAAAAGTCTTATTTTGGCCTCCAGAAAGGGTCTTATAAGTCCTTATTTCAACATGTGTCTTACTACTATGAACGGTTCGAATCTTTATCTCGACAGGTTGCCCTACGCAGAACTATCGTATTGTGTATCTGTGAGGTTCAATTCTTATCTCCACACATTTTTCTACACAGACGAACCATCGTATTGTGTATCTGTGAGGTTCAATCCCTTTATCTTTTTTTTACCTGCGCCAAGGAGGTTGTGTTTTCGCCCCTGTTAGTTTGTTGGTTTGTCTGTCAACAGGATATCTCAAAATGTTACGGACGGATTTTGATGGAATTTTTTGGACGGGTTGGTCCCAACAATTAGGCCAACAACCAATCGATTAGATTTTGTTTTTTTTTGTAGATTTTTTTTGTGGGAAAGACTTCGGGCGCATTCAAAATTCATCAAAAAGAAATCCTGGATCTTTTGCTCTTTTTTTCAAATTTCTGAAAATGTTATCAAACTATATATATTGGGTGTACAGAGGTTTGCTATCTCTGATTGCTCTTGTCATCTATATTGTTCGTTACATTTTCCTTTGCACAAAAGCGGAAGTGTCGGACGGTGTCGGTGGAGTTAAATTCTTATCTTAACACATTGTTATACACAGAGTCACAGACTAGCCATCGTATTATGTATCCGTGAGGTTCAATCGTTACCGTTACCAACGTTTTCCCCGGGTGATTCCCGAACTAAAATAGCGATGATATCTCTGATTCTCATCAGTTTTCCATTTATTTCGATTTTTTTTTTCCGTTTTCCGATGAGAATGATTATGATTTGATACCAAGCGCTTGCGTTCGAGCCACTGTTCAAGATGATCGAGTATAATTGATGACCGTGACATCACTAATCGCTACCATTACCAACGTTTTCCCCTGCGCAGAAGAAGAAGTGTCAGACGGTGTCGGTGGAGTTAAATTCTTATCTCGACACATTGTTATACACATACTAACCATCGTATTATGTATCCGTGAGCTTCAATCGTTACCGTTACCAACGTTTTCCCCTGCGCAGAAGAGGAAGTGCCAGACGGTGTCGGTGGAGTTAAATTCTTATNCGCTTTCGAACAGGTAGGGGAGTTAGTGAAGTAATATTGTATTGTCGCTTTCGAACAGGTAGGGGAGTTAGTGAAGTAATATTGTATTGTTGCTTTCGAACAGGTAGGGGAGTTAGTGAAGTAATATTGTATTGTCGCTTTCGAACAGGTAGGGGAGTTAGTGAAGTAATATTGTATTGTTGCTTTCGAACAGGTAGGGGAGTTATTGAAGTAATATTGTATTGTTGCTTTCGAACAGGTAGGGGAGTTAGT